ACACAGGCTGTTAGAGGGTTCTCTCAGTCATTTTGTCAGCTATACTTTATGCCTTACCCAACCATAAGACTCCCAGGTGTGCCTGGCCTCTGTACCTCATATGGACCCAGTTCCCATTCTTGCTCCTTTAGGTGTGCTTGTACTGTAACTTTAGCTCCAGGGGCTCTGATGGCCTAAACATTCATACACATAAAATAAAAATAAATAAATCTTGCTGGGTGTGGTGGCACATGCCTCAGTCTCTGTGATTTCAAGGCCAACCTGGTCTACATAGCAAGTTCCATCTTTCAGAAGCTTTTCTGAATCTAGGATATTCAGGTTAGCATTAAAAATAAAACATTTAAATAACAGTATCACTCCTATTGCATGTCTATTTTTGAGTTCCAGTTTCTTAATCCAAAATATATCATAGTATCCAGAATACATTAAGTAACTAGTCAATGTTTAAGTAAGTTTGAAGTCAGTAGATATATATCTCTATGGTTAATTATTTTTAAAGTTCTTAAGTAAATTTCTTGGGGCTGGAGAGATGGCTCAGTGGTTAAGAGCACTGGCTGCTCTTGCAGAGGACCTGGGTTTTATTTCTAGCACCCACATGGTGGCTAACAACCATCTATAACTGCAGTTCCAGGGGAATCCAATGTCTTCTTTTGACCTCTGTGGGCATTGTTTGACATGGGTGCAGTTACGCTCATGTAGGCAATACACTCATACACATACAATAAAAATAATAAATAAAATATTAAAAAATAAAGTTCTTAAGTAAATTTCTAATATAAAATGGTGTAAATGGTTTTTAAAATTTATAAATCAGAGTAAAAAGTTATATTTCTCCTCCATGACCAGTAATTAAGTCAGTACATGATTTTCTGTACTGTTTTTCCCTCTCTAATATAACTTTTCTCATAAAGTTGCTATATTGTCCAGCCTTCATAATTGTATATTTGGAACAATGCTTAGTAGTCTAAAAATCCAGTGAATGTAGGATAGTTTGCCTGGTAGCATTTATCCTGTCATTTGGTAGTATAATAACATGTAGTTATTTTTAAATTTATCACAATTAAGTATAATTACTCCCCGCCCATATTTAATATAGTATTCTTAGGCTAGATATGTAGAGGTGGAATCACTGAGTTGAAAACAGTTTTGGTTCTTGATACAGTGTTGCCAAAGTGCTTTCAGGAAAAATGATAAATGTTTATTCTCAGTGTCTGAGAATCTTTAGTGTCGATCAGTACTTAAAATATTTAAGTTATGTGAAATTTAGCAACTTTAATAGTTCCTTGTTTTAATTTGAAGTTGAACTTGATCAATATTTTTATAATTTTTACTGTTCTCTTTTGTAAATCTCTTACTTTTTATGTAGTAGAGATGTTTATAGACTGGAAAGATGGCTCAGCAGTTGAGTGCATACTCCATACAGAGGACCGGAGTTCAGCTTCTACTCCCCCATGTGTGGTGGCTCACAGCTTCTGTCAATTCCAGGTCCATGGGATTCCATGCCTCTGGCTTCCACAGGCACCTGCACTCATGTGCACATACCCCCCATACATAATTAAAAATAATTAAAAAACAAATCTTAAAGATTATGCTTTATACTTTTCTAGATTTCCCCCCTCATTTATCATTTTCTGTTCTTATCATTCTTAGGATTCACTTTTTGTGACTGCAATTTGAGATTTTTTAAAAAATTTCTTTGCGTTCTGAATTTAGTGTGATTTCCTTTTTGTAAAGTGCATTGTTTTCTTATTTGCCTTTTAAAATCCTATTTTGCTGAATGTTCTCTTTTTAATCTACTTATTATCTTGGTGTTGAGTAAAGCAACCTTTCTCTATTTGAAGACTGGAGCTCCAATGCCAGAGGCCTTTATTGTTTACCATGGATTAACTTTTTATAAAATGATACGGGAGAGGGCTGGAGAGATGGCTTAGTGGTTAAGAACACTGACTGTTCTTGCAGAAGACCCGGGTTTGAATCCCAGCACCCGCATGGCAGCTAACAACTGTCTGTAACTCCAGTTCCAGGGGATCTGACAGCCTCTTCTGTCCTCTG